CAGTCTCGGCTGCGCGTCACGTTTCCCCGCCGTGCCGAAGCCGCCGTCCGTGGACATGGTGGTGGCTGGGAGAAACAAAAGCGAGAGTCAGCAACGAGGGAGTTCAAGGCTCCCAGAGATTCCCCCCCAAATCCTGGGAATAGAGGAAGGAGCCAGCCCAGTGAATGAATGGGGAAAACTGTCAAAATAAGATAGGGCAGCACAGGTCTTGCAACAACAATGGAGAGAGACTCACAGCATCGGGAACTATTTTTTAAAAAAATGTTATTTATTTTTCCAAAGACTGAAAAAGAACGTAAAAATACAAGAATTGAAAACAAAAATAGCCTCCTCGTTCCCCCATCAGAGCTCTGCTCTGTCATGAGGAGTTATAACACGTAACTGATGCCCGCTCACACTCCAGCATGCAGCTATTATAAAATAATATTTTCTCTTGCTTGTTACAGCCAAAAATAAGTGCAGAATACGGCAGTAAATCCTCCCAGGTTGAAACCAGAACACCGACGTCAGCCTGATATTATTTCTAAAAAGTGCAGTGAAACAGCTGCTCCTGCGCCTGTTTGAAAGGCGTCGGGTTTTGTGGCTTTAAACTATTTCTAAAATACCTCTTACCCTCAGGTACAACCAACAGGAGAAATGAACAGCGTGGATAATGCAGAACATCAAGAGCACAAAGTAAGATTCAAAATTCCAAATCTTTTGATTCAAACCATTTTTATAAAGCTGCCATTTAGTAGTCTGCAACTGCGGGATGTGAAGCAAGTCTGGCCATCATTAAATCCATACTGGATGGTGCCCGTGCGTTCGTTAGAGCTCGTATCTTTGGTCACAGTTACGTAACAGCAGCCAGCAGAAACTCAGGAGGAGAGAATTAAGAGACTGTAACTGGGTTCAGGCTTCTCCGTGCGGCCGCGCTGCAGCGGAGCTGAAGAAGAGGTCAGGACACGCAGCATCGATCGACCTCGTCCTCGGGTGACCGAGAGGGAGCCAGCCCGCGCGGGCTGTCCGGGCACCTTCCCGTCCCCAGCAGACAGGTCTTTTCCCTCCCTATAAACTCCTAGAGCAAGTCCTGCTTCTTTTTAAGACAGCTCTGGTTAATATTAAAATGAAATGCGACGCGCAACCTGGGAACCCCTCGAGAGCCGCCTCACTGGCTCTGCCCCCGCGCGTGGCTCCGGCAGGATTCCCAGCAGGATTCCCAAGGGAATCCCAGCCTGGAAGGACAGGGGACATGGGCCAAAAGCCACCGACACACGCGGGATGTGCTGAGACGCGACGTGACGGGCACAAAAAGCATCTTGGTGAACACCAGGAGAGTCGCTTCTGAGCGAGCAAAGGGAAGGAAGCAGCGAGGTGCTGACGTCAGGACGCTGCCGGGGTCATCCAGAGCAGCCTGGAAGTTTCCAGGAATGACACACACCCCCCTCCACATACAAACACTAAGTCTCAGCGTCTCTCGTCACTTAGGGCAAGAGAGGAAGGGCGCCACATTTCCCAAGAGACACGC